CAACTTCCACAGACTTGCAATCGATGCTCTCTCGCTCACGCATCAAGCTATCGTTCATCAAATCCATCGTGGGCTCACGCAATGTACGTTTGACAGTTTCTGTGGACACCATAAGCACTGACAATTCTGACCCTGGTGATGGAGACTGCCTGCTGGGAATGACACCTCCGTGGGGAGGCTCCTCATCAAACACAGAGCACCCTGTGCAAAACCTACCTGCCATGTATGATGGCTCAATCATAACTTGCGAGGCAGCACCACACTTTCCTTCTTGCTGTGCTCCCTCCAGAAGTGGCGTTTCGTCGATGCGGAACAATTTCATCAAATGCCCTTTGGTCAAGCTGATGAGTATTGCAGCCAGTGGCGTCATGACATACTCCCTGGGCAAATGCCCCACACAAGTAGTAGCTACACCTGCTGCTGGTAGACCCTCACTATCTCCTGCCTCAGTGAAGAATGCCCTGAAAACATCGTTGTGACTGGGTTTTGATTCACAGTTGTTGAAATGCATCTCCCACCATCCCAGCTTCATGACGATCTCTGACATTTGATCATTGTCCACCATTCTGGAATGTGGATGCAAAAAAGAGCGACCTGTTTCAAACTCACTGCTGCAGATGTCTCCTCCCATGGGCGGCCCATCCCACAGTGGCAGTTTACTGATGACACCATCACTCAAGCAGCTTCCATCCCTTGGACAGGGGTCCAATTCCATGGTTTCCGTATGCAGTTGCTCCTTGCCGCCATCCCCGGGGAGCATCTCCACAGGTATCCGCACTTGCCCACTCTCGTCACAATTCAAACAGGGCCCATCTTGCAGGTGGCCAGCACAGTGCTGCGAGATCAACGATCCCTGAAAACTCTCTTCCTCATTCTGAGATTCCAGCAAGCATAAAGTCATTGCAACATGTGTGCCCATGTTGGTCCCAGATCTTGCGTGGCTCCACTTGGCTAGCATGCTCGGCACTGCACACGCTTCCTCATGCGGGGCCTCCTTGCACGATGCCAGTTTTTGGTGCCACAGCCTTTTCTCACCCATGCCAACCTGGGGCGCTGTGTTGAGACTCCTCAGCTTGGACAGCACTTGTCTACCCCGCAGATGCCTTTCCTCATCAATACGATTCTCCAAGAGGTGCCTTCCCTCCAATGCAAAAGATATCAGTCCCAAAACAGATTGTTGCACCTGCATGGCGTCCCAGAAAGGAGTGAAATCAAGCGTAAACCCACACAGACAGAACTTGTTCCATTGGATCGCCATCATTTCTGCTGTCTTGTGAAGGCAGGTTCTTTGCTCGCTTTCCACAGTTCCAAAGTCAACACCTGCCAAAAGCAGAACTTCAGCAACAGGCATTGAAGCCTCAGCCTCCTTGTCTGGAAATGCCAGACATATGGGGGGGTCGTCGTCCTCCATCAGATTGCTTCTCTCCAGAATGGCGACAGCTTTGTCCCCACCCTCACAGAGCAGAAGGCTTTGGCTGAAGATCTCCAGCCCACACAACCTTGCAGCCAAAAAACATAACATCAGAATGGGAGGCTCAGTGTCTGGCAATGCGGAAAATAGCACAGGCCTGCCCCTTGGGGCACAGGGACGAATGCACACAAACTTGAGATGTGCTGTTTGCCCTTTGGGGCAGATGCTGTCCCTGCAGCAGCAAGAAGTTGTCAACATGGGCCATGTTGGTCAGCACTGGCTGTCGAAGGGGGAAGCAGCAACTGGACACCTGACGCAACTGCTATGTTTGACAAAAATTCCTATGGTTGGGAAAATGTGAAAGGTAAGTACATACTGTAGAAATGCAAACAGTGAGGGTTGAGAGAGACGCTGCACCGACGTCAGGTTCCTGGCGCCAGTAATTTCAAGCCCTCCAGAGCCCATTCACCAATAGTGTATTGTTGGCCACTTGCAAGAACTCGATAACCTTTGACAAATCAATGGTTCTCATAGTGTGCACACCGTGTGCGCAGCAGCCCACAGTGCAACGCGTACAGCCGTGCGGAGCTCAACGCGGCACCTCCCAGCAGTGGTGACGACAAGTGGCCAGCTCCATGCAGGCGCGTGCTGGAGTGTCAGAAAATCTGCCCCTGCCCAAAGGGCCGTGGAGGCGCTTTCCAGGGCAGCCCAGCAATGGCCCCTCGCTCGCAGGCCGAGATTGCCTCACGCCCCCAGAGTCGCCCACAGCTCTCAAAGTGGTTCAGGGACATTGCCCTTCCCGAAGGGGTCCGAGAACCAACTGAACCAGCGAGCGCCCAAGACATCCAGCACAGCGCGCGGCTGCCGCGCCCCGCAACGCAAAAACGACACATTCGAGCAACAAGGTGCTTTCGACCAGCAGGCGATGGGATGCGCAAACATCGTTTCCGATCGACCACGCAGCAACCCCGTACGTGAGCATAAACATCTGAAGAAACTGGCCGCTGGTTTTCGGACGAAAAACCCGCGCCTTGAAAGCTTCCCGCCCGCGTTCAACCGCCCTGGCGTCCAAATCGCGGTGTCAGGCGTGCCCAAGGCTCCGGCCTGGGAAAAGGAACCGCAACCCATCCAGAAGGGGCCCATAGGCCCCTACAAGTGGCCGCACATCGTGAGCGCCATTTTGTTGGATTCAACGCGATCGGTCTTGGCAGGCCATTGCAAGCAGGGATTGCACAGCGGGAGGTTGCACAAACCTGCGGGCGGTGCACGCGACTGGCGTTGGTGGCGTCGGTCCTCGCGAGCCTGTGCTCGGGGGCCGCAGCGAAACTGGTTGCCACCAGCACATCCTCCACCTCTTTCTAGCACCTGCTTCCCAGCGTCCCCTCCTCGCCCTTCTCCTTGCACGCCGCGCCTTAGGTTAGGGCAATGCACCTCCAACCGTGTTTCCACCACCTTCCGGCCTTCTGGCGCCCACCTGCCAGCACATAATGGCGCTCGCTGCGGCCGCGAAAAACACCGTTTTTGCTTTTCACAAGCTCATTTAACATTAATTGATGGCATCAGTATTGCTTTTGTGCTTGAGCTGCCGCCGCCTAGCATCGAACTGGCGTCACATTTGGCAGCACCTGGATTTTGTTTTCTCCTAGCGTGCAAGCTGCGGCATGGGTTAGTACAAAGTTCTCTTCCGTGTTCCCCCCACCTCCTCGGGTGAAGTTGAGGCAGGATCAGATGGAGTGCCTACTCTCCTAACGCCTCTGCTTTCTCAATGCGGAACTTAGGTTAGGAGCTTCAAGCCACGAATCCGTCACCAGCAGAAAACAGCCTGTTTGCGATGCCAACTGCGATGCCGTTTTGACACAAATTGATGCCATCACAGCCCCCTTTATGCCATCGCACTCATTGTGACGTTATCAATTTGTGTCAAAATGGCATCGCAGCTGGCATCGCAAACAAGTTGTTTTCTACCAGTGCGTGTTCCCTCAGTTTTCCCCCTGACACAGCTTCATATGAGCATAAAATGTGGATTGTGCTTTGGGACAAATTCCTCGCCTTATTAGGCAGCAACAGAGGCAAATTTTGTGGCCAATGTCCGCCGTGCTTCATGCCTTTACTGGCGTAAATGTATTAACTAGTTTCAAATTCAGGTCCAAATGAATTTGATGGCCTATGTAAGTGTCAAATAATTCTATGATTTTGGATTGAAGGGGGTCGGCTGAGGTATCTGGGCCGAGGTATCCGTACACACCTCTGGGTCAACGTGCTGCTCGCTCAAGACTCCCTGGGGTAAGCAAATGTCCTTTTATTCAAAGCTGGCATGCCGTATTCTTATTTAGCATTACTTCATGTTCAGTTGACTGAATCAAGTTCAATCAAGGGCCAACAGGATCCCTCCCATGGCACCAAGGGGCGAGGTTTCAGCAAGAAATTTAAGCACTGGCCGAAGCCCCTCCGGGCGTGTTGCTGCGGTTGTTGCTAATGCGGTGGCGCAAATCATGCGAAATTGTGCTTGTGCTCGGTAGGGGCGATGAAAATTGGCAACAAAACACGGTCTACATCGCGTCACACATTATGTGAGCCTAAATGCAAATAGTTGAACCCCTTTTGCTGCACGGTGTGCTGCCCGTATGCGAGGTTCAAAATGTCACAAGACGGAAGGTTATTGTGCGAAACGGGAATTCCTCTAATACAAAGGGAGTGTCATAGATCAGATCAACGGGGCGGTTTGGAAGGTTCTCGCCCTGTGGGAACTCCCATATGAATTAGCTATCCCGCTGAGCCGCCACTGTTCCTTAATGGAACAGGAGCTGTGCATTGTTCAAACTCAGCTGCCACACTCCACAACGACCCTGCGATCAGCACCAAATCCCTTCTTCTGAAATCGGTATGGTGCAGGCACGATTGCCGCAGTTGTTCGGGTTATCCAGCCACTGGATGCACAGTTCAACGAAAGATCGAACCGCAATCCAAGCGTTGCCGAGAGAAATGCGCCTTTATCAGGGCGCCTCGTGAGATGCTGAGATCTTGGACAACACCCGATTACAGAGTGGGGCACCACAGTGAGCCAAATGGTGGTGTCCCTACATAGCCGGGAGATGCTGTCCATTCAATTGATCGTTCGTTCAACTGCTGGGCCATTCGATGCTGAAATACCGGCAGGCTGAAGATGAGTAAATTGCCATACCATCAGCGACCTGTCCAGGATACGCTCTTTAGGACGTATCTCCAGCAAAGGCAAGGTACTATGCTCCTCCTGCGCTCAAATCATGTGCTATCATTCAGCCCATACACTGTCGTACTCAGCTACATTGTCTCCAAGCACCAAAACGCATGTGTTCGTCGATTTGCTCAATACTAAGGGACGGTGTCCCTAACACTCCGGTTCGACGAAATATTCCAAACTCCCATGCTTCCCGGACTTCTTCTCTGCACCGGGCAGCTCAAGCCCACCTTCTGAAACATCTGACGTCCAAATCCGCCACACTGGCCACGAATTTTGAACTGTGCTCACAATTGCCAGCTGCATCGCTGTTTTGTGGGAAGATTCGATATGTGAACGTGGCCACGAGTTCCTTTGATTGGTTTGCCACCCTCAAGCATGGCAGTAGCGTCCTGCGAGCGCAGCTGGACGTTGTATTGTTCAACAACATTGAATTTGACTCAACCACTTTGGATCGACTGCAGCACAACTTCACCTGCCAACACAGAGAAAACTGGACGAGAGTTTGGGCAGCCATTTCAATATCAGGACGCACGTATAGGTCCGTACAGACCATGCATTGTGTTGAGACAATAACTAAAAGCATGGCTGCAATATCACAATGTGGTCTGGCAGCATGCATCAAACAGCATATACTAAATGGACACAACATGCATTGATCTCTGCACATCCACGTGCCACAAACAACGTGTTTTCCTACATATAAATATTTGGCAGTACAAGCACAGGTGGTGGCTGTGCTGAGGGGCCAGTTTCAAGTACAGGATGAAGCGTGGAACGCACCTTGGAATGCCCTTGCCGCTAAATCTTTTAGAACAGTCAGCATCAGGATCTGTCCTTCACCAATTTGTGCGCTCTGAAGGTGGTCATCCACAGGGTCATCAGTTGCAACCCCCGGCACCTGGGAGTGTCCAAAAAAGCAATTTCAATGGGGAGCAACGCAAAGCAGATGAATAACCACACCAATCAAATGATGCAAAGCGCACGCGGGTCGGCTGACTGTGAAAGCCAGATCTAAATAAGCAGACTTTGGATGTGCATAGAACGGCTAATGGGAAGATGCCTGCAGAACAGTGTGTATTATTGCATTCGAACATCACCACTAGATTCGTTGCAAGATGACTGAAACATTATACTTCCAGTGGCCCATCTGCTTGAGAAGGCATCGAAGACTAAGAGAGGACAGCATTTGGACTTTTGTGCACTGCAGTCTCGATGGAAGCCAGACTCAGTCCTCTGCACTCCATCTGTTGTGTCAACACTTGTGACAATGCCCAGAAGTGCTGAAATACTGCTGAGTACAGTCCATTGCACCGATCGAAGTTACTGCACATGTTCTGGAAAACTGTGCCTTATCCTACATTAATCGTCAGCAATCCCCTTTTCAGCAAGAAGGCGTCACAAGTACTACTAAGAACAATGTTTTGCCTCAACATGTGCTTTCCTTCTTGTCATCCGTGCAAACTTACTGGTTTCCTTTCGGCGTTCATCCGTCCAACTGCATTCCAGACTTTCACTTGCTGCTTATTGACCTGGTTGCAGGCAAACTATCTCAGAAATACAGGCAAGAGGACAATTTCAGAAACTTTGGTGCAGCAAATGACACAACCAACCACCAAGTCTTTGTACAGATGCTTCCTGATAGCATCGTTGCTAAGCCTTTAGGGCTGGAAAACCCTAAGGTGGACATTTGCACAGTGCTTTGGTGTAAATTGCGAGATTCACTGTGTGCTGTCAACCATGGAATTTCCAATGTTCCAATTCAGTTTCCATCCGATGGCAAGAATCTACGTAGATTTGACGAAAACTGGAAGCAGCCAAATTCTGGTGACGAGCTCCAACTGCTGGAACATAGATCAACTTACCGTTGGCCAAATTTGTTTGGACTCTGCAGTCTCTGCAAAGCACAGTTGGCAAGACATTAGTGCTTACCAGGGTTTGTTCACAGCTGGTAGCAAAATGTTGATATGTGGATGCATACATAGCTTACTGCAGGGCATTTCGGACATGAACACACTTCTTCCATCCAACTCTTCACCACTCTGCTTGGAGGTGTGGCCAGCCATAAACAACAGCAACAACATGTATATTTGCCGGTTCAACATTCCCTTGACTACCTCAGGCGCTGCACATGTTTGCAGATTTCTGCTTTCAATTAAGAAAACATTATTAGGCTAGATAATGAACACCAATCTCTCAGCCACTTTTCACCCTAAAATGCCTCAAGTATCTAATTCAGTGCAGGAAGCACCAGTACCTTCTTCAGCGCGCACAGCGCGTATGTGAATGCCGCTGCTCCCATGAATAATGCCAAGGCTTCCCTCCACATCGTGTAAAGCCTGGGGCACTACCTGGTCAAAGTTGAAGGTCAGCCCTACTGTGGCTACACATGTAGGTTGAAATATACATTGTTGAAGAATAAGGTCCCTTTGCTTCCAACAACTTTGATATTGGTTGCAGCACAGTTCAGGAAATTTGTGCCCATGGCCATGATCCACATCCATGGATGCAGCCAAGATAAGCCGAAAATATTGAGCCTGCCAGAAGATCTATCATCAAATCAGAAGCACTTGCAAAGGAAATGTAGACGAAGAATGCAAGTACACAACTTGGGAGAAGCTTGAAGATATCCAGGTGTGTTGTGGGCAGCCACGCTGGAAACTGTGAACCTATATTGCTAGTGTTCATAACATTCCCTAACAGTGCTGTGAGACTCTTCAATGAGAACATAAGCAACATCTATGCAGGTGACATGCTCTGGGTAAGTAGGATAGACTCGTTTGTTGCAAGTTTGTCAGTTTAAACAGAACGAATGGATTAAAATGGACATCTACCCCATTGTCCATAAACTGCGAATTTCACGCAGTTGCTGACTCAGAAACTGTCCACAATGGGTTATATTGAAACTGGATTGTGTGATTGCCATTTTACCAGCAGATTCAGTGGCACTTAGGAGATCGATTGCACTCGCATCACCTTGACATATGGTTCCTCAGTTACCATCACACAGCCCTTGAACACGGGTATTCCCAGGCTCCCTCCCAAAACTGGGGGAGGAGAACGATGGCACTTCTGACAGAACGGCTGTCTGGGACCTGCACAAGTACAACTGCAGCAAGTGAATGCCATCCTGCTCTCTCAGTCAACAGGAGTGCACCTGAAACAACACATGGAAGAAGACGCCCCTGCGATGTCTCCGCTGCTGCTGGACAAGGTCCTTGGAGCAGCAAACCGCATGCACAGATTTCTGGGGAGTGGTTTGCATCTGCGCAGAGGCAACTGCTGGATCTGTGGAGATTGATCTCCAGACATTTCTAGTCCTACAGGAGCAAAACCAGAAAGCTGCTGAATAGTATCTCCAAGGTCTGCATGCCACGGAATTGGGCCACCATGCAACATCATCCTCCAGAAAAGGGAAACTTGTATGCATGTATTTGTAGCAAAATGAGCAACACTGGCTTCTGTTGCACTACATTGATCAAGCGTGTGCCATCTTGCTGAACCAGGCACTCCAGGCTAAAGCATGCTGCACAGCGCTGCGCAGTGTCCTGTTGCATGCAGGCTCCATATCTGCCATGGCGTGCTGCCCCTGCAACCTCCCAACACCCTCTACCTACAATCGCAAAGCCAAAGAACCAAAAAACTGTGTACAGTTAAAAATTGCCCAACAGCAAACCCGATGCGTACAGCGCCATTGATGCAGCCCCACATCATCAACCCTCGTCCCAACCCAGCCAGAACGCCAACTTTCCCCGTTCAAAAACCGCTTCCCCCTACACATTTTTCAAACAGCAATAGGACCCCCGATCCACCCCACCCCACCCACCTCCCCCGCAAGAAAGACAAGAAAGTGCTGAACCTCCACAAGAGACGGCTCGCACAGGTTCAAACGACGCCAAACAAGCCCCGGTTAACAGCAGGCAAACGCGGACGCCACAACGCCGAAGGTGTGGTTTGGGCCGAACCAACAAATGCATCACCTCCACTGCATTAACCAAAAACGTGACATGCAGGACAGGGCACGTGTCTTGACCGCGTTCGGAGCGTCCGACAGCATCAGGTTCGCCGGCGGTGCACAAGGACCTCACAGCGCTTGACAAAAAGGGCATTGGGAAAGATATCCAAACGCCGTTCGCGCGACACGGCAGATCATGAGCGCTACTCCCCACGAAGTCCCTTCGGCCATCCCAGGCGAGGTGGCAATAAATTGAGAGGTGTAGGCCCGAGAGCAGGGGCGCTTTCGTCCTCGTGGCCGAGATCACAGCACAGCCCGCAGCAGGCCACAGAAAGCGCGTGTCCTCGACACAAAGTGCACGAGGTGATTCTTCAACCGATGCCAGACCTAGGTGCGCACCGTGGCGATGAGCGATTGGACCGGGAGGGGTATCATTTGGTGCCGGGGTTCTTTCCCGGGGCGTCGCCAGCCAGTTAGGGCTCAACGAAGGCAACTCGCGCCATTCTTCGAGAGCGGTGACCGCAAAATCACAGCGTCCATCGTCCGCAGGAATCTGTCGGGTCATCGGCCACGAGGGGGCCTACCTTTCTCGCACAGCGACGAGGCTCCGGCCCGGGGTTCTCCTCCTCCTTCAATGCTGTTTCCGCTCCAGGGCCACCCAGCAAACGGCAGTGCCCCGGAATACTGGCCTCCGAATCGAGACAGGGGATAAATGCATACCGCGCGTCTGATTGGACAATCCCCGTTTGTAAGCTCGTAATTCGCCCCAGGTCCCGCCTCACACCGTGCTCACCGCGCTGGCTGTATTCGCTGACCGCTGACCACCGTGCTTACCACAGGAGCGGCCATTCCAATCTTCCGTCGCTCCGCGTTTCCTCTGGCTCGTGGACGGCGGTGCTCGCGGCCAGCGCGCGATGCCCCGGAGTGGGCCGGTGGCACCGTGGGCCATGGGAACTGTGTTTTCTACCTTCCCTTTCTTTTCTTCTTTATCCATGTGCATGTGCATGAGATGTTGGAACTCTGGCCGCTGCCAGATCACTTTCATCCAGGGCATTTCACCGTGCTCTCCTGATGTACCCCTTGCGTGTGAAGCTGCAGGCCGTGATTGGCACCAGTGCAAATGTACCTGTGAGCCAAAGCTGGTCAGCCATTTGGTCCTCAGTGGTGTTTGGTGTATCCACTGTCTGCGACAGAAAATGGCAGCGATCGACGGTGCACATATTGGGGCATCTGTGAAAGAAGAAACAAACTCAGTCTGCTTGCAGTCTTGCATGTGTGCACCTGTACAATTGGGTGCAAACTTGCAAGGAAGCACTTTCAGGCCAGATAGCAAAAACGGCTGTATCACATGCTTATGCCGGGTGGCCGCCATTCTGGAGAAGGCAAAGATGCTATGCTCCAAGATGGGCCTTGCTGGAATAAAGTGGAGTATGTCACTAAGTTTTCCATTTTTCAATAAGGCCAGCCCAGGAACACCGCATCGTTGCCATGTCCGGCATCGACTCCAAGATGGAAAATGAGCATCCCCTGCCCAGCTGAATCGCCAACACTGGCAACCTGGACCCACAAACGAGAGCAAATGTGTGTTGATATTGTCTGAAATATGGCAACCAAAGCTAATGGTCGCTGTGGGCAAGTGCAGTGTGAATGCAGAACCAGTTTCTCCCTTCCACAATAGCCACTGCACTTTGCAGCCTGGTCATGTATAACTATTGATGGTTGTTTGGAGAAATGCTTGTAGGAACAATGTGTTTGGCACATGATCTGGAATCGATGGGCAGCAGAACATTCCAAAACAGAGTAATGTAGTGCCATGCATGGGCTACACCAATGCACAGAAGAGACTGTTGGGACACTGTTTGACAAGTTTGCGGATTGCCGGAAGTCAGCAGCAGGGCAGCTTGGATCACCATGGGCACAGACGTTCATGAAGACTACGGTGTGCGACATCTCTTGCAGTTGCTGGATGGGCAGCATAGCATGACAACCAACTCTTCCAATCCAGAATTCTCCATTTTGACCTTGGTGCAACTGCAGCAAGCCAAAAGAATAATGGGCATATGTAAATCTTGACATAGCATCCTGGTTGGCAAAGCGAGCTTACAGTTGCCTATCTAAACATCTATAGGCAACTGCCACAGCAACTTGTTAGGGCGAGGGTAGCACCTGAGCATTTGAATGCGATGAGATATTGAAATGGAAGAAACGCTTTCTGCAGCCTTGGTACTTTGGAGACTTCTTCAGATCCAAGATTCAGCAGTTTGCAGAAATGGCAACATACAACTAGCATTCTGCCACCATTCCACAGGTAGGCCAACCTTTCTGCATTTAGAATTGATGCTTCCACTAGGCTGGGGATAGCAACGGAATGTATGCTGCAACATTGGCAGGATTCACCAACTGATTTGTGTAGATCTTGATTCCTCGTATGTGAAATTTTGGCAGCAGTGATGCTTAACTGACAAACTTCACTGACTTCTGTATCAAAATTTGCATGAGTACTCTATTTCAATTGATTTCTTGTCATCTGAAACCAAGCAAGGTGTCTGACAGCACCAAGGCAACAGCCAGGATGTGTGCAGGACCACACTCGTGTCTTTGCAGCTGCCATTCCAGTTGGGTGCTGGTGTTGGCTATCTACCACAGATTGCAGGGATCCCTTCCTGAGAGCAATAAAGACAACGGGCACCTGTGTGGGCCAAAACTGAGGCTTCATCCTGTGGGCTTGCAAATGCAAAATTGAAAATACAGAAGTCGGATACAAGTTGTCAATTCAACTTTTCACAATGTCACACGCTCCTGCAGTGTTGCAAATGCACTGAGTAAAACAGTCACAAACAACATCACTGGGTATAGAAAGGCACGCATCGCTGAGGGGGAGCTGATGGATCGACACAACACAACACACAAGAGATTTGCACCTCTGAGGTGCACCCTCGGCCATCGTCTTATTGGAAAGGCAGGGATGCCCGTGTCAATAAAACATTACTCCATTCCAACGGCATCCTAGCAGGATGATTGTCAAAACAGCATCGACAAGGTGGCCACAGTCGTTAATTGGCTTAAGAATCCCACATTCTCGACCTCAATGCTGTGTAGAGCGCATCTTGTGAATGGTCAGCATAGTGGGCCTTGGGGGCCCCAATGCACATCTGCTTAGATCCTTACTCGCCTGTCGCGGGCAATTGCCCGTCGCCGCAATTTGCGAATGCACTCTTCTGCAGGCGGCCTGAGTGCCGCATTGCGCATGGAGCCAGCATTACACGTGATGACTGCCTCCAAATGCCGTGGCTATCCACCACTCTGGACAAAAGGGACGACACTCAGACCTGAGGTGCGTCACGCGGTCCCCCAGCATCACCACGAGGCGGGCGCAACCGCGCAGAGCGTGTGACGGCGAACGCCTCCCACGCCATGACCCGGGCCCACACCGCCGCCTGGCACCTTTGCGTATCAACGCCAACGCCGGGTCATCAAAAGCATCACCTTGACTAACAACAGGGCTGGTTCATCCAAAGCATCACCTCGCCGAGACGCGGATGCGGTCCTGTCCTTGCTGTGTCTGCTGGGTCCTATTAGGGTGGAAGACGGTTCGAAGCCGGATGCGGAATCGAACTTACCGGAAGGCCTTTATTAATTGGGCTGGGTCGCACCAAAGGACCAGCCAAATCCTGCACCTCCTTCCCAGGCACCTCGCGCTGCGCGGCTCTCCCTTCGGCCAGCTCAAGCCCCGAGGCGCCCGCCGTGCCGTGCACCTAGCCTTCGGTTTTGAGACGCCGAGGCTCAGGCTCCCGCCTACCGACTTTGGCCGCAGCCCAAAATTGCCAGCAGGCCGCCTGGTCGCCTCCGCCATCGCCAGGACCTTCAGGTCAGTGGGGTCGCACTGCCTTCGGGACAGCCAGCTCCCCGGCGGCCAGCCGCCACTTTCACAACGGGCAGAGGGTTGGAAACGCACATGCGCATGGCGTCCTTGCTCCCAGTGCGGCCGATTGCCGGTGTGGTGGGTGTGGGAGCGGAGGATTCGGGGGTGGGCGGCTTCCCCAGCGTGAGCCGCCGTTTGGCGTCGGGGTTGCTCTAAAACCCACGAGGCTAGGAGCTCGGGGGGACGACGGATCGGGAGATCGAAAATGCAGCTGGACGAGGTGCCGATATCGCCGTTATCTTTTGTCATGGTTCACGGCGTCGCTGGTTGCTTGGCCGAGCTTGGCCCTTCGCAGGTGTGACGCTTCAGCCATTCCTGGCTTCAGGCTCACTCCCGGCTACCGTCGAGAAGGGACAGGCAGGCGGACCTCAGCTCGGTTGGATTCCCAACGGAATTCAATTTTTGAAAATATTTGTGTGTCAGCGAGTAAAGGTGGCCGACTGGCGAGTGGATGTGTGTGGCGACAGGATGGGACTGTCGTGGTTGCAACGCCAAGTGGGCCATTGTGTGTTGCCGTGGCCGCCGCTGGGGGGGCACTCGCGCTTTGCGGCCAGCCGTCGCCAGCGGGTGGCTGAACCGCCTGCGTCGGTGGCCCGCAGCGCAGTTGGGAAGGAGGAATGAAGGGGGAAGTTTGCTTTGCTTGTGTCCTAATTAGGAGACACTGTTTGGTGGCTTTCGCAGCCCTCCTAACCTTTTCCCTGGGAATGTCGCGACCCACAGACAGATGGCGCCACAGCTTTGGCGACGGATTTCCAATTTGACAAATTTCGACTATGACAAGCACCGCGCCTCGCGCCCATTATTGGCATCACTACATTGCCAATTAGCAAATTATGCTGCAACAACTACTGCGATAGCTGATGATCTTGTTAATGACAAAGCAAAAGAAATTTTCTAGACTATCAACCGTGTTGACCCTGAATCACTGCATGGTCGGTGTAGCACGGTAGTCTTTACCAATCTGTTGTGTTCGCAGGAAGGCGTCGAGGTGTTGTTGAACACCACCCCGCCTCATCCCTGTACCCATTTAGACCGCAGATTTCAGGCGGCTTTGCGGAAATGACGGCCCTCGTAGTTGGTAAGGAAGTTTCCCACGTCAGGAAAATGCGGCTCGATTCGAACAGTGTAGAATTTCGGGGAATCGTGCATCCGCGACGTGCAATGCTATCACTGGCCCGGCAGTGCATCTCCCTCTTTAGGTCCATTCTGCCAATGATCCTGGCACGTCTTGATTTCAGGGAAGAGTGGCGTACCCTGTGAAGGCCTCGCCGAGTGCTGTCCAGGCGGGCTCATGGGCTACTTTTTCGGAGGCGGATTTGGAGGTGCGCTATGTGGACGCCGTCCAACCCTCGCTGTTGGCAAGAACAATGCGCGGATTGCGCAAATGCCATCTCTTGGCAAGCCTACAGCCACGCCCAGTTGTATTGAACGAAGGCACTGTTTTGATTTCCGTACGCATTGCGCTGAAGAGACGCCAGTGGTGGGGAATTGAGGAAAGGCCCAGTCTCATGCGACGTTGCGGGGGGGGGGGGCGTCACCGCCTCGTGTGACGTCCCCAGGATGGTGTGAGGGAGTGGGGGGAGGTGGGGGGAGGAATGGTGGGGCGTCAGCAGTGTCGGCGAGATTTATCTCAAGGGCTGTGGGGGGTTCGTCGGGGCTGAGGCGTCACAGGAGGCTGGGCCTGTAGGCCCCCACCCCCCCTCCTGCACCCCGGTGCCTCCAAGGCATCGATTGCCTGCCGACGATGCCGACATTGGCGAAGCGTTGTGGGTACCTGAACCCCAAGGCCCTCCGTTCCTGCGCCTGTCGGTACCTTCAGGCGCCGATGCCCACCGACGCCCGCTGACGTGCCAGCGGCCTATGGTGCCGACGCGTTGGCACCCTTTTGCCAACGTCGGCCGAGTTTAAACACAAATTTGTGTAACCTCCTCATAAAACTCAACTGCGGTAGAAAGAGGTATTTACGTCCTTCGCCCAAGTTGTGGATCCTCCTCATTACGCCAAAACTCAACTATGGTACAAATCGCATTTAATGGTAAAAGACGATGTTAATTGACGACTTTGTTGGCGGCATGTGCATATACCCGCCCCTGTGCCCTTTATGTGTGACGCTGTCCTGATGCCGGGCATGGTGGCATTGGGAAAATTACTAATTTTGTGCGCGCAAGGGCACTCGAGGGGGCGGGGAACAGGACATTCTGTCCATTTACAGCGCAGAGGGAAATTTGCAGAAGTCCACGGATAGGTGACATCGGCAAAGGATGCTCGATGGATGTATACAGTAGCGGCTATTGACAATCAGGCCCTCTCAATCGTGAACCCGTAAGGCTCATAATTCATTATCGTTGCATGGAAAAACAAATCAGCATCGTGGAGAAGTAGCGGCGGAGAGGGACGCAAATTGGCGCGGATCGGTGTGGCAAGTCCGTACACTTACTGGAAGTGGCGGGTAGTGTTCGTTGCCCGTTGATTGGGACTGTCATTTGCATTGGTAGTCTTGTCCCTTATCGGTTTCTTGTTTCAAGTTTGTAAGACGAACCCAATCAGCCAGTCTGACATGAGATGAAGAACCGCTGATATTGATGTCGGTGGATGTCAGGGATGGGTGTGAGATGGCGTGGTCGGCCTGGTATCCAACGGCCCAGCGCAAAGGTGGCAGAGCTCTTCCCCACGTTGGATAGGCAGGGAGGGAGCTTGGCAGCGCCACGTTTTGGGGACCGTCGCCGGGTCAGAAGTTCCACGGCTCGTGGTGGGTGGACCCGATGGAAGCACGCTATGGCAACACCTTGCATTGGGCACTGGTACCAGAACTTGCGCTCTGGTTTTCGTTGAGAATGATTTACTGTCTTTGAGTACTGTGAGGGCGTCGAAATGGCAATTGAAAATAAGGAAGAGGTGGCGTCGCCCATTGGCCGTGGGATCTGAGCTTGTTGTGGGACTTGTTGGGCATGAACATGCCAAAATCGATACATCGACTTCCCTTGGCTGTCAGGATCAAGTATCAGCGTACCGTGTTGACGCTTATTGCAAATCGAATTTTGCAGTTTCCTCCACTTCAGGTTTGCTCCTTGGATGTGTTGGCTGCATGGTTTCTGCTGCTGCGACTTGCGTGAAAATGTTTTGAGTCCTTTGGCTGCATTTGCAGGAATGCGCA